TAAATGAACCGTTGTCTAAGTTGGGTTAGGAACTGCTCTTCGTCAAGGCTTTTTTCTTAGTGCATGGGATTGCAACCAGTAACTTGCAACAATAGTTTATGCCCTTATCAGAAGTTTTTAGTAAGATTGAATCTACTATTATACCTAATATTTTAAAAAGCCTCGGCCTAGGCCTAAGCAGTACCTGGACCGCCTAACTAGCGCATGGACGGTACCCAGACTACGCATCTAGTTGTTGGGAATGTTTAGAGAAGCATTGTCTGGTTATATGGATTGCACCATTTAAGCATTGATCGTGATTTTCTGTATTGCAACCTCCACATCATCTAACCTCCTTCAAACTCCTTTTAACCTTCAAATGTGAACACCTTCACTACCTCCTCCGACCTTCGGCAAAATCTGCTTGATCACCACTTAAATGAAGAAAGAAATCTACTTAGATACCAGTTCGATACCTAAGCTTTCTATAACATTGACATTTACTATCTAACGCCTAGGCCTCCTAGCACTTTGTTTAACCCTATTGGTTATTATTTTGGCTATATATTATTTAATTTAAGTATGCATGATTTATTATGGATCTAAAATTGCTATCAATTTTTTCAAATTTATATGAATTTAATACTTATTTTTATAAATTATTATAATTAAATAATTTTAAAAGTAGCCAAACGTCTACGCGTCTAGGCGTTAGGTGCTAGCTCAAACGCCAAGTCCGCCTAGCGCCTTCTGTAACATTGATTATACCTATCCTCTGCAAAAAGTGTTCTTGTTTATAGTGTTCCTTAATAAGTCGCCTTCAGTTGCTCATAAATATACTAAACTCCAGCTAAGCCCATATGACTATCCTTTCTTTTATTAAACTTCAAAAATAATCTCAATCTAGGAACTTTGATTTGACCTTGTTCTCAACCCCATCTCTCTTATGGAATTGTTGCTTGAGCAAATAGATTCGGCCTAAGTTATCATACATTAATTAAAAAAAAGGTCTTCGTTTCTGTTATTGGTATTTTCTGGTGGAAAGAAACCCTCTTGGTTTGCTGAATTGACGATAACATACATGCTTACAAATTCTGGTTTTTCTTAACTTACATCTATATGTTTATCCAGGTTCTATATAGAGATGTTTATATGCTAGATGATGGGAATAAGTGGAAGCAACTGCCTCTGATGCCTAAGCCAAATTCTCACATAGAATTTGCAGGGGCTATTGTTAACAATTCCATTATCATTATTGGAAGAAATACAGAGAAACACCGTATGACCAAACAGATGATACGCGTTGGATAAATATGCTGATTCAATTTAGATACTTTGGTACGGGAATTTTTTATTTGTTCTACTTTACCTTTGGAAATTTATTTATAGGTTTTATTAGAAATTATGTGCTAGATATGAAATTTCTAAGGAAGAACAAGAAATAGACGGCCTTCTAGGATAATAACCTCCTAGGGTATCACTGAGCATTTGAAATGGTAGCACTAGTAATGTTCAGAAGATCATGATTCCAATAGATGACCCAAATTGATGGCAAAATGTACATTATCCAAATCAAGTTTACAACTTGATGCAATCTAAGGTTATAATAATAAGTAAAACATAATTGAAGTTGCAAACTTATTCTTAACACGAGAACTTTCACTTGGAGAAAAACTGCAAAAATAACTCGACATTTTGTACATGAGATATTAGATTATAATGAAACAAATTGATTGTTCACTCAGTTAAGTTGATATCCATGCTACAACTACTTTTTCCCATATTGGAATGGGATGATTAGCAAAAAATACCAAGATAATTAAGCTTAGGAGATTAGGCAACATTTGTTGTCTTAAAATTTTTTCATGAGTTATATACATTCAAACAATGCTCAACCATGTACTACAAGAACATATCTATGAAAAATAGAAATATGGGTAGCCATCTAAACAATTCAGACTAAAATGAGGAGTGCAAATCATCCATGTGTGCTCTCGTCATGCAATTGCAACAAATTATATCAATAAGTATTGTACTTGATGAAGCAATCTTTTGAGCTCCAAACTCAAGTATCTAGGATATATATGATGTGTATCTCCTACTCTTAGACTGACTGTAATTGCTTAACATGAGGCTCAAAGCAACTTTTACCCACTACTAATCTATGTCTCAACTATAGTGGACAATAGATGCTTATTAAAAAACTAGTGTCAACCCTAGTTATTTCCTTTTCAGTACTCAAGACGATATAATATATTACTATATTACATTCTCCCACTTCTACTCTAGATCGTGAGCCTGTGGCAAAATGAAAAGACAAGCCTATAATCTTTGTCTGTGTGTTCAATTCTCTTTTGTGGCAAAATGAAAAGACGGGCCTGTGGCAAAATGAAAAGATAAGCTTGTAATCTTTTTTTGTGCGTTCAATTCTCCCTTGTGATGCTTAAGAAGCTCTTATTGGCAGACTTTCAAAGCACACAGTTAGCCGTCAATATATGAGTAGGGTTCATATATAAACTCATACTATTGAGATAACAAAGCTTCCAACCTTCCACAATTTATGCCTTGAATGCAAATTCACTAGAGTGAAGTTTCTCAAAGCCTCTATCGCACCTCTCTTCTTGTTCCTAAATTTGTGTGATGCCCTCGAACTTTACTGGTGATGGCTGCCAAGGTCAAGATATAAGATTGAAAAGCTTCCCCTCTTTATGTGAAAGTAAACACCAAACTTACACTCCCACAATATAAAATTTCAATGGTTGTTGAAGTTCACTAGCGTGAAGTCCCTCAAAGCCTCCATCTCACCTTTATTCCTGCTTCTAAATTTCAATGGAGATAGCTACCAATGTCGATACCTAACGTTGAAAAGCTTCCCTTCTCTATGTGAAAGTGAACACGAAAGTTACTACTCCACCAAAACAAGTTTTCAATGTTTGTTAGAAGCAATGCCCTTTGCGGTTTTTGCAGACCTATTGTCTTGCTTTAACATATTTGACGGTACAAATTAAAGCATCATGCAATTCACAATGTCCACTTGATTCTCATGTTGCATTGTCATGGGTTTCACAACCATAATGTCAATAACATGTTTGCAATAATATCCTTCTACTCCTTTACTATCTTATCTCGTGTTATCACCTTTAATCATCAAACTAAAATATGGTGGAGCTTGGAAGCAACATCCTTCTCATGGCTTCCCCTCCCTCCTCAAATGCAATAGTAACACGCACCATTGTTGATAGTAATAACATGTTATGATACTTTCACTGCCCCTTTATTTTGGTTCATTATCTTATCGTCGTGGAGAATAAAAAGATAGAAAACATTATCTAGTAACACTTGCTTTCATGTTTGGCACCCCATCCAGCTTACCACCTCAGCACACCCTCCTATGGCAACCATAAGTTCCACAGTTGCTGTAGCAACAACGTCTTGGTCCTAATAGCAGGCTTTTAATCTCTAATGATATACGAGCATCCACTAGCCCACATGGTACTTGTTTATTTTCCCGAACTCAACATTCTTCATGTTTCCATCCCTCTTTCTCTTCATTACAAGCAAACCATCCATTTACCACTCCCTTTAGACTTAACAACCAAAACTTTCGTGGTTTTTTCATTGCTAAACACATTTCTTATGTTTCTTTTTGTACTTCTTTTTCTCAATTAATGTCTTAAGACATTAATCAAAGCATCTTTAGGTTACAACCTTTGACTGGATCGTGCTTGTCGTTTATCATGGACATGGTCCTCCAATCGCTCAACCACTCAAGTGGAAACCATGACCTCCATCATTGTTGGCAATAACTCAAATCAAATGAGAAGAAACCCAAGGAGAAAATAACACCCTACACACACCATGCACATGCAACTGAAGTTTAGGCTCAAATTCGATGACTGATGCTGCTAAACTTTAAAAGGCTACTTTACTCTCCATCTATCGATTTTCAATTTTTTCCAACTTAAACAATGAACCATAACCTCGCTTCCTCTACTTTAATCTCCAGGTACAAGAAACCCCATAAGTTCCACTCCTTTTGCAACTATAACTTCTAAAATTACTGAGGGTGTTTATATTTTTGTCTCATTATTCTCTTTTTGTTGTGCAAATTAGAGCATAATTTATTAAAGCCTCCCACTTTGGTCCAATTTTTCCTTTCTCATGGGTTCCTCCCACTCTATAGTCCAAGATTTCTTCTGATGTTAATAACCAAATCTGAATGATGGTGAAACATTCTATCACAAACCCTTCTTTACTTCCTAAATGTACATCTACCAGTTTCCATATCTTTAGCGACTGAAATGTTTCCATTGCTGATGGCAATAGCCTTCTGCCCCTTCTTCCCTCCTTAGTATTTTCGTCTTGCAAATTTGAGCATCGTCTGCTTCACAATATTCTTCTTGAATTCATGTTCACCATATGATGATTTCCCCAACCCCAACCACCACCCCCCCAAAAAAAAAAAATCCCACTTTCCTAAATCTAAGAGACCTAAACTTGAGATAACTCACAAAAAATATCCCTCTATTTTCTCTCCTTAAACTTATTGTGTGTGATACAGGATTATTTAATATTAGAGACGCTGAACATGAATAACAATAGTACCAGTGACCATTAACTATATTATAAACTGCACTATGCACCTAAAGTTCATATCACATATAATATCACATTCTTAAATATTAAACCAGTTCCTTATTCAAAGTAGAAGCATAGATTCCAAATTGAAATTGAAAATGATTAAAATGCATCAGTTGACCATGGGTTTTAGCAGTTAGAAATATTTACTCCACAGTCCACACAATTTTGAACTTTACTGTATGAAAGATCCATAGGCGTTGTATCCTCTGCAGATCATTTTCTAGACACATCATATGATGCAAATGCATAAACAATGTCAAACAGAACATGTATTAACCCCAAAAAATGATATCTATGCCAACATAACATTGGCCAAAAGATGCTCGCGCAATTCAATAAAAACAAATGACTGGCATAGTTCCCAATATAAGTGATCATACCTCATCATCTTCCTCATCTTCGGTAGACCTAGTTGAATCAATGCTCCTGCTATCATTTTGGTCACCTCTTCTAATGGATTTATCACCGTCTCCAGATCCAACAGAATCGAATGAATTTCCAATTGGTTGGGTTGAAGTTGCGCTGGGAATAACAGATTTCTTTTTTATAATTTCTTCTCTAAGCCAATCAGGCACTGCAGCCTGCAAAATTTACAAACACAATATGCACAGTCGTATACCATTGCATTCATAAGAGAAAAAAGGCACAGGGCGAAAAAATGGAGGAAAAGAAGGGTTAGTCAATAGATGCCCTTACTTTCTTTGGGCGCTCAGAAAGATTTAAGGCACCATTAAGCTCTCCAGGAAAAGATGCAGCTCCAGGGCCTAAGCCAAATGGTGCACTAAGAGGTGGCACACTAGACTGAAAGCTGGGAGGTGGGACATCTCCAAAGACTGGTGAAGATTGCACAGCCAAGGATGATTGCGGTAAAAAAGTAGGATCAAACTGCGAGAGAGAGAGAGAGAGAGTGTGAGTTCCATGTTAAGCAACTAGATATTCAAAAAAATAAAACCTTCTGCAAAGGAAGATATAGAACCTGTGTTCCAGATGGACCCAAAGGTATTTGAGGAAAACCAACCCCTGGACCAGTGAATGGAGGCCAAGTATGAACAGAGGATACTGTTGGATCATGATTCATTATTCCAATAGCCCCAGTTGGACCAGTATGCCCGTAATTAATTTTATGTTGTGATTCACGGTCAGTATCATGCTTTCTTTCGAAATCCAATGGTCGATCACAGGCATCAGGCAAGAAACTAGTGGGCGGCCCATGATTGGAGAAATGAGGTTGTCCTGTTGAGATCATCTGAACAGGTAACGTGGATTGTGAAGGATGTGCTTCTTGAATGGATGACACAGACAAAGGCAGTGCGGTGTGTGAACCCTCACCATGATGTATAGCTTCTCTGTTACCTGTTAGTAACCTGATAGGGTCAAAGCAATGAACTGGAAACCATAATTATCCACAAATTATCATGTTTTCAGCAGCTTTGCAGATAATCTCCGTGCACATATCAAAGCCCATGATATAAATTCACACAGATTTAGGTTTGCCTTCTAAAAGAGGCCAACATGTTGACAGCAACCTGGCTTAAACAGTATCTTACTCAGTCTAAAATATAAAAAAAATCCAAGGAAATTCACACTAATGGGAGACAAAGTTTAGTTTCCCTTGCAGCGACAAAGGTTGCAAGAACTTGCTAAATGGTTCATTCATTAAGACAAGTTGATTCAATGTGCAGAATTTATACCTGCTTCGTATTAAAACAAATAAATTGCACTATATAATATTTAGACAAACTAGCAGCTTATTATAGTTAAATCTGTTAAGGCAGAAGAAAGTTATCTTAAAAGAAAGAAAAGAAGCTTTAGCCTGGACGTGGAATCTCATCTTTGACGAGGGGAGGAGAAAGAAACAGGAGACATTTTTATCTGTCAAAGCTGGAAACATGAGGTAACCATTCAAAAGGTAAAGGTTTTCCGTCAAACTAATGCCATTGCCCCATAGATGAAAATAGATGAAGAAAATATTCACTCACCCACATTTTAGCAGATTTTAGAAAAATAATATAATTAAGCTACTTGATTACTCTATTTTTGATATCTCCTATGCGCCCTTTATCAGTGAGTGACAATGTTGTACGTGAGTGTATATGTACACATGCAGGCGAATGTTTGCCAATCCAAATTTATATATTAACACAAACCAGTTTCTCTTCTGTGAGATATAAAAACGTCATCAGAAGCTTGGGCAGGCAGATAGTTCTTAATAGTGTTTAGAGATTTATTCTTTCTTATATATTTTACAAGCTATCTAACAAAAGCGTCCATCCTGACTTAATCATGCTAAACAAATATATAGGCATAAGACTT